GCGCAACGGCAGCCGAAGGAAGAATGGCTCACATCATCCACGCCGATCTTGACGCCTTCTACGCCACCGTCGAGCAGCTGGACAACCCTGAGCTCCGCGGCAAGCCGGTGCTGGTCGGCGGGCGGCCCGAAAGCCGCGGCGTGGTTGCCACGGCCTCCTACGAGGCCCGGCCCTTCGGCGTGCACTCCGCCATGCCCATGCGCACCGCCGTACGCCTCTGTCCCCAGGGCATCATCGTACGGCCCCGCTTCAACCGCTACCGCGAGATGTCCCGCCTGGTTATGGATGTCTTTCGCGATTTCACCGAAATCGTGGAGCCGCTTTCGCTGGACGAGGCCTACCTCGACATCAGCGAAGCAGTAAACGAGGCGGAGGGCAGGTGGCCGCTGGGGGTGGCCCTGGAGCTGAAGCGACGCGTGAAGGAAGAGACGGGCCTTACGGTCTCCGTGGGCGTAAGCGCCAGCAAGTACGTGTCGAAGATCGCATCCGACCTGCAGAAGCCCGACGGGTTGGTGGTCGTGCCGTCCGGCGATGAGACAGGGTTCCTGGCGCCGCTGGCTGTCGGCAAGCTCTGGGGCATCGGCCCCAAGACGGCAGAGCGCCTGAACGCCGAAGGTGTCGAAACCATAGGAGACCTGGCCTCCAAGCCGACCGACTGGTTTGCCAGGGTCTTCGGACAGCGCGCCGAGAGCGTCAGGCTGAGGGCCGCCGGCCAGGACAACGAACCGGTACACACTGAGCGCGTCACCAAGTCCGTCTCTTCGGAGACCACGTTCCCCGACGACATCGGAGACACCGAAGAGCTGCATCGCGTACTGGACGAACTCGCGAGCGGCGTATCCGGCAGTCTGGAGGGCAAGGGCCTTCAGGGCCGTACCGTTACCGTGAAGATGCGCCTCGCCGACTTCACCACCTTCAGCCGCCAGTCGACCCTTCCGCGGCCTTCCAACGACGTGGACCCGATACGGGAACTTGCCTGGCGGCTACTTTCCGCCGAACTTACCGCCGGTCGCACGTTCCGTCTTCTGGGAGTCGGCGTAAGCAACTTCTCCGACGGAGAGGAAGAGCGCCAGCTTCCCCTGACCCTGGAGGGCGACTTCAGCGCCGTCAGACGCGAATGGTGGCTGCCGGAGACTACCCCGCTGCCCTGAACCCCCTCTATAGCCCTTTGAGAGCGTGTGTGGCAAATCCCCTCTCTCTCTGGGAGAGGGTTAGGGTGAGGGCATCCCCAGCATTCGCACGAATACCGAATGCCCAGCAACCTGCTCGTTATTGAGCAGAACAGACCTGTCACCCTCGGCCTTAAGCCTTCCTTTGGCTTCTGGCCGACTAGTCGCACGGCCAGTTCAGAACTTGCCGGAACTCATCACTTCTTAGCGGAAGAGGTCCCTCTCGCCCGTCCGTAGCAGGCGCTGAATGCTGGCGTCCTCCACGGTTTCGAACGGGTAGTTGCGAATGATGGTCACCGGAATGCCCAAGGCCTTGCCGGTCACCAACTCCGCCGCGGCGGCCAACTCGTCCGCCGCCGCGATCTGCGTCGTGTGCAGCACGTTTCCATGGGCGTCCAGCGCGCCAACGTAGTCCAGCAGCGGGTCCAGACCCGCCACACCTATCGCCACGTTCGCCGCGCCGTTCCGCCATGGCCGGCCGAAGGTGTCCGACACTATGACCGCCACGTTCACCCCGAGCCTGTCCTTCACCGCCGCGCGGATCCTCTGTGAAGACGCATCGGAATCGTCGGGCAGCAGGGCTATGGTGTTGTTGCCCGGTATGTTGGAGGCGTCGATACCCGCGTTGGCGCAGTAGAAGCCGTGCTTCGTCTCGGCGATGATCACACCCCGGTCCATCCGCACGATCCGAACGGACTCCCTGAGGATCATCTCGGTGTGGCGAGGATCGCGGCGGTGCCCCTCGGTGATGGTGATGGCAAGCTGCGAGGCTTCCACGCCCTCGTAGCTCATCACCTTGCCCTCGACCTTCGATACGACCTTCTGGGTCACCACGAGGATGTCTCCTTCCTCGATTGGAGTGCCCTGGGCCGAAGCGGCATCGATCATCAGGCCCGCCAGGTCATCTCCGGGGCCCAGCTCCGGCATACCTTCAACGCCGATTACGCGTACTTCGGGCGGATAACAAATCACCTCCGCGTCGACGGAGCCGATCAGGGCTCTGTCGAAATCTACGATGTTGGGCCGCAAGTTTAGTGGCAATTCCACGATAACACAATCGATGAACTCACTATCCCCAGGACCCATCAATTCCCCCTCTCCCTTGAGGGAGAGGATTGGGGTGAGGGTGAAATCCTGCGGGCTCACAACTTTGGCTACACCCGAGAGACGCCCCCAACCTTACCCTCCTCCGGAGGGAGAAGTAACTATTAAAAGACCCTGCTCGCTACCCCCAGGACTATCGCATTTGGTTTGCAGAGCACCCCGTCATTCCCGCGAAACACGTCCTCGGCTCGATCGAGGAGCGGGAATCCAGGGCTCCCGTCCTTCGGACTGCCCTTGGCCGCCAAGGCGAGTAGACCTAAACCGGCAACCGTCAGGATCATTTTTTGGCCACTGGATTCCCGCTTTCGCGGGAATGACGGGTTGATTTCGCTACGGCACTGGCCTTGCGGTCCACATGCGATTGCCCTGTCGCTATCCCCAAGCTCGGCTCCGCAGCCGTTCCGATGCAGGGCATGGGGCCGACCCTGTGCTAAAATCTCATGGTGCCCGAAGGGCGCCTCGACTCTGCCAGAAAGGGTGACGCCAGTGTCAACTTCTACTTCCGGGGATTACCGAAAGAGGGTCTACACCAAGTTCGGAGACAAGGGAGAGACCAGCCTGCTCTACGGCGGCCGCATCTCCAAGAACAACCCCCATACCGAGGCCTACGGCATCACCGACGAGGCAGTCTCCGCCATGGGCTTGGCCCGCGCCATGTCCAGCGACGACAGGGTGAAGGAACTCGTGCGGAACCTGCAGAGCGAGCTCTTCACGGTCGCTGCCGAGCTGGCCACCGACCCCGACAAATACGATCTTTTCCAGCAGCACTTCTCCCCCGTCACCCCTGAAATGGTGGAGAACCTGGAGAATGCCATCGACTCCCTCGAGCAGGACATGACCATGCCCCACCGTGTTCATCCTGCCCGGCGGCTCCCCCGCATCGGCGGCCATGGACCTGGCCCGTTGCATCATCCGCACGGCCGAGCGCCGCGTGGTCGCCATGGGTGAGGCCGGTCTGCTCACCAACGAGTTGCTCGTGTCCTATCTCAACCGCCTCGGCGACCTGCTATTCGTCATCGCCCGCTACGAAGACCGCGACCTGCCCATCGAGCGCGCCACCGGGCAGCGGACGTAGGGGCCTCCCGCCGTGAAGCTGGTAGTTGTCGACTACGAGTCAGGAAACCTTCGCAGCGTATCCCGGGCTCTGGAAACATGCGGCGTCTCGCCCCTGGTGTCCGGAGACCCCGCCGACCTGCGTGACGCCGACGCTGTCGTCCTGCCCGGGGTCGGCGCCGGCCCGGCCGCCATGTCCGCCCTCAACCAGCGCGGTCTCTCCGGCCCCCTGCGCGAATTCGCGGAGAGCGGACGTCCCTTTTTCGGCATCTGCCTGGGCCTCCAGTTGCTGCTCGATTGGACTGACGAGGAACCCGGAGCTCCATGCCTGGGCATAGTGCCTGGAAGCGTAAGGCGCCTGCCCGACAGGGAAAACGGCACCGCGCTTAAAATCCCCCACATGGGTTGGAACAGCGTGGCCCTGACCGACGACCATCCGGCCCTCCACGGCATTGACCCGGGCAGCTACTTCTACTTCGTCCACAGCTTTTACGCTGAGCCGACCCGTCCCGAGGGCGTGCTTGGGACCACCGAGTACGGCCTTCACTTCTGCAGCGTCTACGCAAAGGACAACGTGGTCGCCACCCAGTTCCACCCGGAGAAGAGCGGCCCCGTCGGGCTGCGCATCTACCACAACTTCGTCGCCATGGCAGCCCGGGGCGCCAGGGCCAGCTGAGGGACACCGTTCGTGGAAGTCATCCCCGCCATCGACCTGCGCGGAGGGCGTTGCGTCAGACTCCACCAAGGTGACTTCGCCCAGGAGACGATATTCTCCGACGACCCTGTTGCCATGGCCCGCCAGTGGCAGGAGCAGGGAGGTCCCCGGCTGCACCTCGTCGACCTTGACGGCGCAGCTACCGGAGAACCCGCCCATCTCGAGATCATCTCCGCAATTGTCGCCGCTCTCGACACCCCTGTGCAGGTCGGCGGAGGAATTCGCACCGCCGACACCGCCCGTGCCTGGCTGGAGGCTGGAGTCGATCGAGTGGTCATCGGCACCGCCGCTGTCCGGAACCCCGGCATGGTCCAGGAAGTCTGTAGTAGCCACGGCAGCGGCCGGGTGGTGGTGGCCGTGGATGCCCGCGAGGGCATGGTGGCCGTTCAGGGATGGCAGGAAGCCAGCGAGGTCAGCGCTCTCGAACTCGCCCACAACATGGCCGCCCTCGGCGTCGTAAGGCTGCTCTACACCGACATCTCTCGAGACGGGACCCTTTCCGGTCCCGACCTGGACACCAATACCCAACTGGTGAGGGAGACCGGTATGGCGGTGCTGGCGTCCGGAGGGGTATCGTCCGTTGAGGACATCCGGCAACTGGTCCCGACGAGGGTCGAGGGGGTCATTGTCGGCCGCGCCCTTTACACCGGCGCAGTCGCACTTCCTGAGGCAATTGAGGCAGCGACGGAGCGGGAGGAGGGAAGTGACTGGTGGGGCGACGGAGGGTGACGGGTGGGACTGGCGCGACGGACTGCGAGGACGAGAGGGCGGCGCGTGTGAGAGAGAGAGGACGGGGGCTAGTCCCGTCCCGACTGGGGAAAAACGGAGCGCCGACGCGGCGGGGGTTCCTGCTCTACGTCCGCGGGCGCTTCAGGCTCGCCACCCTGTGGAGCGCTGGGGCCGTTCTCTTCTGCGACCCTTTCCGTTCCACTGAACCGGGCAGCCAGCCGTTCCTCCCCGGTCTCCAACCAGTCCTCCCGCCGTACTTCCATCAGAATGAAATCCTGCGACATCCGCCGGACATTCCGCACCGGCCTGAAACCCGACTTCTGGAAGCACCGCTGGGCCCGTTCGTTCCAGTCCAGGGTATGCAGGTAGACCCGCTTCAGCTGCAATTCCGTGAACATGTGGTTCAGCAGCGTGGTCACCGCGTCATACCCGTAGGAATTGCTCCAGTAGTCCCGGTCTCCGATTACGATGCCCAGTTCAGCCTCGAGGTTGATGCTGTCCAGGTCATAGTACATGCAGTTGCCGATGTAGGTGCCGTCAATGGCGTCGGTGCCGAAGTGATGGGAACCGGGGGTGGGGTAGCGCAATTGGTCTTCGAAGAGCCGGAGATAGCGCTCGTAGGACATGCTCAGCGGGAAGGCCGCGTCAAGACGGGCAATTTCCGGGTCGCTCCTCCAGCGATAGTCCTTCTCCGCGTCCTCGATCCGCTTTTCGCGAAGAATGATCTTCGCTCCTTGGAGTTCAACCATCTAGGCCTTTACCTTGTCTTGACTTCATGAGGTCAACGGCCCGGCGCATTACGCTGGCTTCATTGCCGTAGGCCATCGAACTCAGGGCCTCGTCCACATCGAACCACTGCACGACATCAAACTCGGGGTCGTGCTGGTCGATGTGCCCTCCCACCGGTGACATCAGGTAGAAGTGGACGGTCTTGTGGTATCTGACATCGTTTTCCCGGTCGGCAAACCAGTAGTCGATGCTGCCCAACGGCGTATCCAGTTCCACTTCCAGGCCAGTTTCCTCCCTCACCTCGCGCAGCGCAGTCTCCTCAGGAGTTTCGCCGGGATCGGGTGTCCCTTTCGCAAGGCTCCACCGCACCGGGTCGGAACGCCCGCAGAGGACCGTCTCAAGGCGCCCCTCGTTCCGGCGGAACACCACGCCGCCACATGAAACCAGTGTTTCTACTCGGGAAGAATGTCTATCTGCCATCACCGCCCATGCGTCACTCTAGGGATGAATGCGCCCGGCGAATTCGCGGGCGCATTCCGTACTGTCTATTACACTGACGTTATTTTAAGCGGCCCAGTTTGGGCCAGTCAAACGGGCGTTATGACAATTTGGGCCTGCACTGAGGGTACGGAAATCGGAGAAACCCACCACTCGCCGGTCAGCTTTCGGTCCAGGCGATCAGCATCAGCCTCCGCCGATAGCCGGCACGAAGTGCACTTCGCTGGTCTCGCTCACTCTCTCCAGCATGCCCATACGGGCCACGTCCCCGTCGATGGCCACCGCCAGGTTGGAGCGGATCTCTCCTTCCTCAACCAGCCGGTCCTTGATGCCAGGATACATTGCCTCCAGGCCGTCGACTATCTGTCTCACGTTGCGGCCCTGGCAATCAACCTGCTTAACTCCGCCGGTCATTTTCTGCAGCATGGTCGGTATGAAAACAGTTGCCACGGCCACCCTCCTGTTACGGGGAATCAAATTCGCTGTCGTTGCGGACTGGATCCAGGAAACAATCTCGAGGGTGGCGGCTCGCCGGACCCGTCATTCCCGCCTTCGCGGGAATCCAGAATTTCTCCAGCCAGTCGGTGGGCATTCGTAGGACCTGGCGGGCTTCTAAGCAGTTAACTGAGGCCTGAAACTCTCCGGCAGCCGCTGCCAGTTTCAGATTACCTTTACCCGCCTGGCGATTCAACCCTGGCGGCCACAATGCCATCAAACGCAACTGCCTCCCCGACGTGGGGAGGCAGCATCGATTCACCGGTACCGGAGGACGGTCCGCGGCCCCGACTAGCCCCCGTTCTGTTCCCATTGTTCTTCGAGGATCTTCCCAGGAGACATCGGCAGACTGCTCATCCGCAGGCCCGTGGCCCCGTGGATGCCGTTGGCGATCGCAGCCATGGGAGGCACGATGGGTACCTCGCCAACACCACGCACACCGTAGGGATGCCCGGGGTTGGACACCTCCACGATCACCGTGTCGATCATCGGCAGGTCCAGCGAGGTGGGCATCCGGTAGTCCAGGAAGGTCGGGTTCGACATCCGGCCGCTGTCGTCGAAGAAATACTCCTCGTTCAGCGCCCAGCCTATTCCCTGCACCACGCCGCCCTGTATCTGGCCCTCGACATAGCTGGGGTGAACGGCCTTTCCGGCATCCTGGATGGCGGTGTAGCGGGTCACCTCGGTCTTGCCGGTCTCCGGGTCGACCTCTACATCGGCAATATGGACGGCGTAGGAGTTGCCCTCGCCCGGCGGGTCCACGTTCGACTGCCCCGCGACGGTGCCACCGGTAGAGGCCAGCTGCCGCGCCAGGTCCTTGAACCCTAGCCGCAGCTCCGGGTCGGACTTGTGCCGCACCTCGCCGTCAACGTACTCCACGTCATCCTCGGCGGTGTCCCAGATCTTGGCGGCGCGGGCCACCAGCTGCGCCTTAACCGACTCGGACGCCTCGATGGCAGCGATGCCCGTGGCGAAGGAGGTCCGGCTGCCGCCCGTCACCATCGTGAAGCCGATGGAGTCGGTGTCCACCACCGTAGGCTTCACATCCTCGTAGGCGATTCCCAGGGTCTCGGCAGTCTGCTGGGCGATCGAGGCACGGGTGCCGCCGATGTCCACCGACCCCATGATCAGGCTGACGGTACCGTCGAAATTGACGGTAATGACACAACTTGACTGGAACCCCCGGTTCATCCAGAAGCCCGCGGCGATGCCCCGTCCCCGGTTCTCGCCGTCCACTGGCGCCTTATAATGCTCGTGGTTCCGGGCCGCCTCCAGGCACTCCACCAGGCCGATCTTGCGGGCCACCGGCCCCTCGATGCGCCTCGTGCCCTCCTTGGCAGCGTTGAGCAGCCTGAAATCGATGGGGTCGATACCCAGCTGCTGGCAGAGCTCGTCCATTACCGTCTCAACGCCGAAGGCGGCCTGCGGCGAGCCGGGCGCACGGTACGCGGCGGTCTTGGGCTTGTTCACCACCACGTCGTAGCCGTCCACCTTGCCGTTTTCCAAGTCGTAGCAGGCGAAGGCGCAGGAGATCGCCTGCATCACAGGCGAGCCAGGGTACGCGCCGGCGTCCATCGCCACCTCGAGCTCAACCGCGGTCAGGCGGCCGTCGTTCTTCGCCCCCACCTTGGCCCTCATCCAGGAGCCGGGCGCGGGACCCGACGCTTCGAACACTTCGGATCGCGTCATCCACTGCTTCACCGGCGCTCCCGCCTTCTGCGACAGCAGCGCGGTGATGGAATCCAGGTAGGCCGTGATCTTGCCGCCGAAGCCGCCGCCGATCTCCATCGGCGTTACCTTCACTTTCGACACCGGCATCCGCAGCACATCCGCCACCGCAGCGCGCACCGCGAAGGCACCCTGGGTGCTGGTCCACACATTCAGCAACCCGTCGGTATTCCAGAAGGCTGTGGAGTTATGCGGCTCGATGTAGCCCTGGTGCACCGAGGCGGTGGTAAGTTCCCGTTCGACGATCACATCGGCCTCGCCGAAGCCCTTCTCCACATCGCCCTTCTCATAGCTGAGATGGGCCGCGATGTTGCTGGGCTTGTCCGCAATCTCGCCCATCGACGAAGTCCGCAGGTCCTCGTGGACCAGCGGCGCACCCTCCGCCATCGCCTGGCGCACATCAACCACCGCGTCCAGCACCTCGTAGTCCACCTCGATCAGCGCCATGGCGGACTCCGCTACATGCCCGTTGACCGCGGCCACGGCCGCCACCGGATGCCCCTTGAACAGCGCCTTATCGCTGGCCATCATGTGGTCCGACGCAAACTTGAGCCGGCCGTAATCGCCGCCCAGTTCCTCCCTGCTCAGGGAGGCGAAGGGCAGGTCCTTCGCCGTGATGACCGCCCTCACACCGGGCAGGGCCTCTGCCTTGCTGGTATCGATCGACCGGATTCGCGCGTGCGGGTGAGGGCTGCGCAGCACCTTCCCGTACAGCAACCCGGTAAGCTTCACATCGGCCCCGTACTGGGCTCTACCGGTGACCTTGTCCACCCCGTCGGGTCGTATCGGGCGTTTCCCCACGATGTTGTATTCGACTTCCGATAGCACCTGGTTCGAAGAAGTCACTCTCATCCACCTCCGTATTCGTCATATTCGTAGGGGCGGGTTTTAAACCCGCCCCTATTTATTGCCATTGCCCAGTGAAACCAGTCTACTTGTCGGAAGTGGTGCTCACCTGCAGGACTGCCCTGACGATCTTGTCGTACCCGGTGCAGCGGCACAGGTTCCCGGCCAGCCAGTGGCGGATCCGGCCCTCGTCTGCGTCCGGCTCGGCATCAAGCAGCGAGCGCGAAGCTATCAGGAAGCCGGGGGTGCAGATGCCGCACTGCAGCGCGGCATTTTCTAGGAACGACTGCTGCAGCGGATGGAGCCCGCCCGGCGAAGCCATCCCCTCAATGGTCTGCACTTCCCGCCCTGCGACCTCTACGCCCAGGACGAGACAGGAGTCGACAATGCGTCCGTCCAGCATCACCGTGCAGGCGCCGCAGTTGCCGTCGTTGCATCCTTCCTTTGTGCCGGTCATGCCGAGAACGTCCCTCAGCACTTCCAGCAGGCTCTGGCGAGGCTCACACAGGAAGTTGGTGTCCTCGCCGTTAATCTTTGCCTGAATATGTACAACTCCGGGCATGCTCTAGCCTCCCCTGGCCCGCTCTACGGCGATATTGAGAGTGCGGCGCGTCAGCACGCCGATCAGGTGAATCCTCTGGCGGATGGTGCCGCGCATGTCGGTGATGGGCTTGGCGTCGGCCATGGCCAGTTCCGAAGCCGCCCGGATCGTTTCGTCGTTGACCGCTTTGCCGGCCAGGCTGTCTCCCGCGGCCTTTGAGAACACTGGCGTGGGAGCGACCGAAGCCAAGGCCACCCGCCCCGACACGAAGTTCTGGCCCGAACCATCCAGGACCACGGAGCTTCCGACACCAGCTACCGCGATGTCCATCTCGTTGCGTGGGATGAACCGCTGGTAGTTCGCTCCGAAATTCGCCGCGGGCGCCGGGAAGTCGACGGAAACAAGCATCTCGCCCTTTTGCAGGGCGTTCTGGCCCGGAGCCGTGCAGAAGTCCTCAGCCGCCATCTGACGCGTGCCGCCAGGTCCGGCGATGTTGAGGACGCCGCCCAGAGCGATGACTGCGGGAATGGAGTCTCCACTGGGCGCAGCGTTGCAAAGGTTCCCGCCGATGGTGGCCCTTCCCTGGATCTGGATGCCACCTATCAGCGTAGCCGAGTCAATCAGGCCCGGATACGCGCCCGATATGGCTGCATCCTGGTAGATGCGGTAGCAGGGCACCGCGGCGCCAAGATTCAGGCCGCCTCCGGCCGAATAGCTCATGTTGCTGAGTTCCGGGATATCCTTGACGTCTATGACCACATCGGCCAAGCGTCGTCCGGCGCGCATCATTACCAGAATGTCCGTGCCGCCGGCAATAATTCTTGCCCTGTCGCCATGCTCATTCAGTATCGAAACGGCTTCGTCGATACTCTTCGCAGCTACGAAATCAAATGCTTCCAAATTGCCCACCTCCTGCGGCCTGAATTATAGCATTACTCGACATTGGGTCAAGCTGTGAGTTACAGTCCCGGCCAATAGCGGACAACCTCTCTGCGGAGCCATTTTTGACATGGCAGGCCAACCTCAGACCGCTGCCCAAGCGACCCCGTCGGCCCTCGAGCAGGTCCTCAAGAGAGACCGGCTGTTAGTAATCGCTGCCATCCTCGTCATCGCCGCCATTTCCTGGGCCTACACCGTTTACCTGTCTGGGTCCGGCATGGGCATGGGAAGCATGCAGATGGACTCGGATTCGGGCATGGGAATGGCCATGGCCGATCATATGCGCTCGTGGAGCGCCGCCGACTTCGGCCTGATGTATTTGATGTGGGCCGTGATGATGGTCGCCATGATGGCCCCCTCCGCGACTCCAATGCTGCTCATGTTCGCCGCCCTCAACCGCAAACGCCGCGAGCGGGAGGCGCCCTATGTGCCGACGGGCGTATTCCTGGCCGGCTATGTCATCGTCTGGGCGGCCTTCTCGCTGACGGCCACCGCGGGCAACTGGGGCCTGCACCAAGCCTCGCTGCTCACTTCGATGATGGGTGCCTCGACCAGCGGCTACCTTGGCGGTGCACTCCTTCTCGTGGCAGGCGCCTTTCAGTGGAGCCCACTCAAGTACGCCTGCCTGAAACAGTGCCGCACGCCCATGGGCTTCCTGATGACCTCGTGGCGGGACGGCCACGGAGGCGCCCTCCGCATGGGCCTGGAGCACGGCGCCTACTGCCTCGGCTGCTGCTGGGCCCTCATGCTACTGCTGTTCGTGCTGGGTATCATGAACCTGGTCTGGATTGCTGCCCTCGCCGCCTTCGTACTCGCCGAGAAGATCGCCCCCTGGCCCGAGTGGGTCAGCCGAGGCACTGGCGTCCTCATGGCCGGCTGGGGCGTCTGGGCCATCGCCACCGCCGCAACGTGAATGAAGTCTGACTGCTCCTTCACCCCAGGCACTTGGAAACCATCCCAGGCCTTACCTCGTGCCCCTATCCTTCCGCGTATCCCAAACGCATGCACACCCCGTCCGTCATTGACCTTCCTGCATACCCCCACCGTCATTGCCATGAAAATAGGGAGCAAAACAGTTCCCTCTCCCTTGAGGGGGGGTTAGGGTGGGGGTGAAATCCTTGCTGAACTCCCGTCGAAGTTAATTTTCATACACTTGCGTGGCCCCAAGGCCATAGGTAATTCCTGCGAAAGAACGTCATCCCGGACTTGATCCGGGACAGGAATCCAGGGGCTTTGACCGGTTAGCATTAGATGGCACCAGACAGGAATGTTTTGAGAAGGTGTGTTACTATACCTCTCCCTCCGGGAGAGTGTAGCGAGGGCGTCCATTCTTTTTCTCCGAAATAACAGATGCCCCGCAACCTGCTCTTTATGGCACCAAAGAGCCCTTGTGTCATCACACCCCTTAGTATACAGTTGCAGAACAATAATGGGTAGAATTGAGGCATTCCGGCGGTGGTGAGGTGAGGTGGTGGTTTTTGTTGGGAGAGATGAGGTGGGGGAGGTCGTCCGGTGGGCTGAGGGTATCGAACGGGTACACGAGTGCATAGCGGGGCGGTTCCGGCGTCCCGAACCACGTCGACGATCGCTGGCCTATTTGAAAGGACTGCTCAGTCCAGTGGAGCGCAAGAACGGGTGGCAACTGGCGGAGCAGGCCGGGGACGCCACACCCTATGGGGTGCAGCATCTGCTGTCAACCTACATCTGGGACGCGGACCTGGTTCGCGATGATCTCAGGGACTACGTGGTGGAGCATCTGGCCGCGCTGACGGGGTGCTGGTGGTGGACGAGACGGCTTTTTCTGAAGAAGGGTACCAAGTCGGTGGGAGTGCAGCGGCAGTACAGTGGGACGGCGGGTCGGATAGAGAACTGCCAGATAGGAGTATTCCTGACCTACGCCACCAGGGATGGCAGAGTCCTGCTGGACCGGGAGCTGTACCTGCCCCAGGTATGGGACGACGAGATGGGGGAACGCCGTCGGGGAGGCTGGGGTGCCGGAGGGAGTGGCCTTCCGGACCAAGCCACAACTGGCCCGGGGGATGGTGGAACGGGCGGTGGAGTCGGAGTTCCCTTCGGCTGGGTTGCTGGGGACACGGTTTACGGCAGTGACCGTAAATTGCGGCGGTGGCTGGAGCAGCGGGAAATACCCCATGTACTGGCCATCAAGAGCAACGAGAAGCTGTGGGCCTGGACGGAGGAAGGGCCGAGACAGGTGCGGGCGGACCGGTTGGCGTCGCAGGTGGATGAATCGGGTTGGGTCCGGCTCAGCGCGGGAAACGGGGCCAAGGGTCCCCGGGTCTACGACTGGACCTGGGTGGAGATCCGGCCTTTGAGAGAGCCTGGCAAGGGGTACTGGCTTTTGGTTCGCCGCAGCATTGCCCAGCCCGAAGAGCTGGCCTGGTACGTCTGCTTCGGCCCAGCGGAGACAAGCCTGGCGGAACTGGTGAGGGTGGCAGGTATTCGGTGGACCATTGAAGAGTGTTTTGAGGAGGCCAAGGGGCAGGTGGGGCTGGACCAGTATGAAGTGCGCAAATGGGAGGGCTGGTACCGGCATATCACTCTGGCCATGCTGGCCCACGCCTATCTGGCGGTAGTCCGGCAACAGGCCAACGCAGGTTGCGGCGGAAAAAAGGGGGAGAGCCGGAGTGGGATGAATCCCTGATACCGTTGACGGTTCCCGAGGTACGCCGACTACTGTACCGGTTGATCTGGCAGCCCAGGCCATCGGCCAAATCGGTGCTGGCGTGGTCTCGTTGGAGACGGCGCCACCAGCCAGGGCCCGCCGCTGCCATTACCAACGGCGCCTGAATCACCTCAGCCTATATATGCGACTGTAGTACTAGGCAGCCCCGAACTGTAAGGGCACACAGCTGCGCGTCCCTTTACCTTCAACCCGACTCCCCCATCACCGCGTCCACCGTATCGCCCAGGACTCCAACGGCGAAAGCCGCGGCTCACCACCCCTTCCAGCGATTCGAGGGACGGCTGCGCCTGTCCTGCCGAGGCGCTTTTCAGCGTCTTCAGCGCCATCGCACCAGGGTCTGTCGTCGTCAAGCTACTCCTTAGAGTCTCCCTCTAGCAAAAATCGATGCAGTGGACCGTATCTGCACCCGAAACAGTCGCGATCGCCAGCACGGGGACGCTGCCTTGCTCCAGGCCCAGCTCCTTCAGGAACGCTTCCTGCGTCGTGGAGACCCCATGCTGTCCGAAGATCACCAGGTTGTGAAACCCGCCCCCCAGTTCCTCGAACGCCGACCGGTAGCGCCGGAAAATGTCGTGGGAGGCCCGGTGCTCCGGCCCGACCAGGAAGATGGCAGCCGCAATAAGGAGCATTCGCTCGACCGTCCACTCGAATCCATCCAGGTCCGCCCTTCCAGAGCACCCAGCTGATCAAGGTATGCGGTCGGAGTGGATAATTCCTGTCAGCTGGGTTTTCGGGAATATAGGAGCCCCTCCTTGTCCTTGAGATGGCCGGGAATGGACTTGACCGTTCCGAATTGGACCGGGGGATGACGGCATACCGTGG